AGAACAAAGACAAAACAAAGCACCATAAGAAAATAAAAGTGGTACTGAATTTCAAAACAAGAACAGGAAGTTAACAATGGTTGCTGTATTACATAATGTTATCAAAAAGTTTGTTGCTCAGACTATCAGATTGATTCCTGTTTCTAACATGTCAAACACATTCCTGCCTGAAGGTCCTTTTGTTTACTCCTGCCTGGAGCACCTTACATCTAACGGTCTGCTTTGACGCCACATTCAAGGTCTTGTGGAATATTATTATTAAGACCTACCCATCACCCTAGCACATGCTGCTCCAACTATTCTTAGCAGTTTTCTCGATATCATGTACTATATATGCTATTTTAGAGATCTATAACTTTTGTCCCCCCCTATAGAATGAAACTTACAATGATCTAGATTTCTTTTTAAATTTGTACTGACAACTTGCTATACAGTGCTCTCAGGTATTCAGTGCATAAATATTTAGTGAATGCATGCCTTTTGGCTTTTGAGAAGGTATTTACCAAACCTCACATATTTACCTCTCTATCCTTACATCTTTTTCATATGTGACAATAACTAAGATGTGGTGTGGTACACACCATCCATAGAAAACGATTGCATTCACAGTCTTTTTATTTGGACTATTTTGGGAAAGTCAGTGTGTTTAGTAAGTATATTGCACCTAGAATCACAGTCTAATAGGATGAAGCCCTGGAAGGCATCTTTGGTGACCACTTTTCAGTTTACTCAGTGGAACCTACAGTGGAATTAACCTGCCCAAAGTTTAGTAACATGTAGAAAATGTGAGTTGGAGATGTTTTGTTTTTCAAGACTCTTGGCTGGGATTACTGGAGAGGAGCAGAAGTTACTATAAACCATTGTGGTAATTACTGGGCCCTCTGTCCCGTGTAGTACATGCATGGCCTAGCACACCACCATGTGGAGATCCTTTCCTCTTATCTGTTTTACACTCCTCTTAATCTCTTATTCTTTCCTAATAATAATGTCTTTTCCACTTTCATATCATTTCTTTCAGATTACACATATTTGGGAAAGCATATGATACTTGACTTTTTGAGACTTAGCTCATTTAATGTGATGATCTCCAGTCCCATCCATTTTATTTCCGAGCAGGATTTCTTACTACATGCTATTTCTTTATTTTCTTACCCTATGTGAATTCTTGAAGTTGTGAAATAACATAATTAAAATTTATCATCATCACATTATCTTCTGTACATTGACTTTTACTTGCTCTGTGAGATGAATATGTACAATACTTACATGTTAACGGAGAACTGACATAGAAGTATTATTTTTCCATTGGCATTGAGCCTAAGACCATTCTTGACTTTATTCATCTGTCTCCAGACTGTGTAGCTCATTGTAAAGTGTCTAAAACAAATGGTTATTTGTCTTAGGACATCATCTATTTAACCAAAATACTTGAAAGAAAATAATTTGTCATCTGTTTTTCTTCCTTTTATTACTCCTTTGAAATAAATGCTTTGGAATTGAGAAATGGGTACTCAAATTTGAAACGTATATAGTCATTTGCTTTCAAGTTTTTCTCACACTTGAGATAATGAAAGCACAAGGAATGGAAGATATGAATGCATGGTATAAAAGGTAGATATTCCAAAGCCATACAGTTCCTTGTAGAATTATCTTAGTTTGAAATTAATAACCTGGGATTTGGGTTTTTGTTGCCTACCCGAATTCTCTGCGAAGGCACATTTCTTTTTTTATTCATTTAAATATACTTTTTATAGTAATAATTGATATGATATTAGAAACGGTACACATTTAGAAGACCAAGATGACAGGCATTTCAAGCATGATTTTAGTATTACACATTGCTGTCCTCAATGTAGTTGCTTACTTCACAGATATCACTACCCATTAACTATTTTCAAAAACCTCATGGAAATTCTTAGGATTATTGCCTTATTCATTTGGTATATATACATGTATGGTTTTGCCCCTGCCATATTTCCTAATTTTTCCCCTTTCTCTTTGTTGTTAAATCATTAAGTTCTGTTTCTTTCCATTTAATGGTGTCTGTCATATCTTTCAGTTTTTATTTCTTTTTTTTTGAGTTCTTATACTTGGGAGACAATACGATATTTGCCTATATGGGTCTGGTTTAGGCACATCTCTTTTTAAAGAATGAGACTAGGTTGGGGAGACAGCTTGGTGGTTTAAGCACCCGCCTGGCAAGAGCAAGAACATGGGTTTATTCCCTGATACAGCATGCTGTGCCAGCCCCAGAACCCTGGACATGCTGTGCCAGCCACCAAACTGGGTATGGTGACACATACCTGTAACCCCAGTGCTGGGGAGCCTGAGACAGGAGGATCAGTATGAGTCTGAGCTATGTAGCGAGACCCTGAATAAAATAAAAGATTAAAGAATGAGACTAAACCAGGCATTTGGGGGAGTTGAGACAATGACCAAGAAATCTCACTATAGATTTCACTCTTTTTATTAAATACTACTACTACCCATGTTTTAAGCTTCAGAAAATGGCACTGAAATGATATTTTCCTGGATCCTTTGTCTGCAGTGGAAAGAAATCCCTCTTGTGACACATAACAATTTTAAAGGCTGTATCATTTAGGTACAACGAATACTCATTCTTTTTTTTAAATTAAGGAATAGAATTTTAATTTTCTTGGCTGCTTTGTTTTTTTCCATAATTTTATTGAGAAACAAATAGCAATGAGACACTTTCAGATCAAATTGGTAGGACAGTTTCGAATATCCTTTCTTTTGGGTTCTTAAGAGAACTGGTTAAGTACATGCACAGCAAATCATGGCATATGATATAGCAGGTGCTCAGCAGCAAACATCTAAGTGACTTCACCAGGTAGACTAAATAAGTAAACAATAATGTAGGAATGTCACCTGGGAGATTTAGCCCTATATGGCCAGCTTCTTGATACTGTAGGATGTGCTCCAAATCTGACAGTAATAGTTTTGAGAGTGCATATGTTTGCAGATCAGCAGCTATTGCATTTGTAATCAAATCTAATTTATTGGGTATGTAGGAAAAAATAAGAGAAAACTGTGTTGCCTTTCACAACCTTTGAATATAATTATCATCTGTATGTTTTAAGTCTCATTTGGGGGTGGAAAGGGAGTTACAGGAGTTTTACTATCCTGAAGTGGACTGAGCCTCTGTACGGCAGTCACACAGTGACTCTTCAGTAGTCTTAAAATTACTAGTTAAGGGATACTTTGAAAGATTAGAGTGACTAGGCAGAATCAAGAAGGGGATTTAAGTTTAAGAATGCTAGGGAATTGGACAGTAGTTAGACGCAGTAGTTAGAAGATGTGCTCAGCTGCACATCAGCAAAAACGTTTCTTAATCATCATTTTGCATGTTTGGTGGGCTCAAACAAGTCTTTTTTTATTCTGGAAGGAAATGTAAGTAGGTCAGACTCTGAGGAAGGAACGATGGAATGTAGTTATTATTCCTAAATACATGTGTCTTAACTGTGTTTTGAAGGTAGAGGAAATGCCAGAAGGATCTTACTATTTCAGTATCACTAACAATAAAATAACAATTTTGATAAATGCAGATGAGCTGGGATTAAACATTTCCTTAATACAGATTCTCTTAAGGAGTTAAAGCCATTCAAAAGAACAACTAAGACTTTGTTTTTGTGGAGAGGAAATAGTTTGGATCTTTACTTAGCATAAGTACAGTAGAACAGTGAAGTATAATCCAGAAAACTTCAATTTGCTGCTATGCTTGAATATTTTTATGTCCCCATTTCCACTGTGATAAATCTGTGTTCCCTCACGTGGAAGCATCCCTCACTTGGATACATATATACTTTTCGATTGGTTGGGTCTTATCCCTAATTCACAGAACATAGGTTGATAGATTTATATAATTGTACTCTACTGCTGTTGACTTTTTAATCATTTGAACATGGATCAAACGCTAATTTTTTTATTACCTGTAAAGGCAGAATTTGCTAAACAAGTAATAGCATACACAAGATTCAGAAAGAATATTTCAGTAGGAGGGAACACAGCCATACAGTTTCTGATATAAGCATTTGTGATGCTGCTTTCATTAACTCAGACTGGCCTGAATTATGCAGAAATTTGTAATTTTCACTGATTAGGTATAACCAATCATCCTGACCAAGGCTTTTGTGTAAATTTTGTTTTGTTTAGGTGTAGGATATTGAACCTAGTGCCTCATATGTGCTTAAGCACATGATCTACTCCTAAGCTGGACACCAAATCTCACCTGGTTTTGAGTTCAGAGAGTTGATTAAATGTAAGTGGACCAAATGGCTAGAGTTGATTTCAGAAAACTTTCTAGCCTGTTTTCTGATTGGCAAGAAGTTGTTTTCTTAAAATTTTGTCACTAAGGGATAAAATGTAGAGATTACTTGGTGCCAAGTGAAATAAAGTTAACATAATTGGATTTGAAAGGAAGAAGATAGATTTACTTTGAGTAGCCCATGCATGAAGTCCTCTAGACAGATGTAGGAGGAATGTTCATCTGTTGTATTAGATCCATAGAGTGCTTCTACTTTCTTACCCATTTATTATGGTTACCTCTGAGGTCATTCTGTGATAGGTAGGTCACATTGTTTTTATATATTTGAGACACTGTTAGTATATGCTCTTCAGCTATGTATTGAAAGCCTTCTGTTTAATGAAGGCATAAACAAAGGAGTTAAATATGGTGGTAGAGAAGAAATTTAATGTGTAGGAATAGAGTTTGAGTTTTATCCAAGCATTTTGCTATGAGTATAAAGAACTTTTCTTGATTTTTTCTTTTCATAGTTGTTTTGCCTTGGGTATCAATATGCTGCATTTATACAGTCATAGATGTATCCAAAAGGCAGTGGCTTAGTCTATAAAAGACTAGATGTCCAGAATTTAAAGAGATTTTTAGATTTTAAAATCATTATGATGATTCTATATAGAGAACTAAACCATTTCTTTGGTGTTGTCTTAGGTGAATTTTGAAATCAAAACTGCAAGGAAGCATGAGTGGCATAATGGTACATGGTTTTGTCCAAATGTGGAACAAGAGGTCAGGTATGTCCAACGTGCAAGAAGTATTCCTAGAAACAGTGGAAGGAAAAAAGAACTTTAAACTGCTGATGTATTTGAAGACTGGAAAAGTTAGAACTTTTCAGCTAAATAATAATATTAAAAATGTAGCCCTTACATCCTATGGCGAAGACCTCAGTCACATACAACTGACTTTCCAAAATAGTAATTTCTTGTTTATTGAAAGAATGGCTTCCAAAGATGCTGAACAATTGAAGGCGTTCCTGGACAGAGCCCCTCAAGACTGTCCTGAACCACACATGAGCCCGGAGAAGGGAAAGGTTGTGTATACCAGCATAGCAACACAGACTACAGAAACTTCATTGCCCAGCATTTGTAATAGATCAGATGAGGAATGCTCAGGGATAGACAAAGAAATTGGGACTTTTGTTCATCAGAATACACCTTTACTTTCATCCAAATCATCGACACTTACTGATAAGGAATCAGAAACTCAACCTAGCAAGGAAATGCAATCTTCTGATTTAGAGGTAAGTGAAAGTGAGAAATTGCCTATAAAAAAGAGAAGTATTAGGAAAAAAACCAGTGCAAATCCCTTGAAGTATAAAAGCCGCAATTGGAAGAAACCATCAAAGACAAGAGTGTCAAAGAACAGTAAGAAAGTGGCATCTGTAGCAGTGGCCAACTCTTCAGGTGGATGTCCCCGACAACGTACTGATCTCCAACATTTCAGTGAGAATACAGTTCAACAGCTTCTGCAGGCACTAAATAGTGGGGGTGGCCCAGGGCTCAAGGTACCCCATAAACTTAAGTCACACACATTATGGCAAGGTCTCCCCAATTTGGGAAACACCTGTTACATTAATGCAGTCTTACAGTCCCTGTGTTCAATTCCATTGTTTGTTAATGATGTACTCAAACAGGGTTTCCCGTGGGGAAGGGTTGCCCGTGATATGTTTTGTGTGTGTGTGATACTTCTGCTTATGATGAAAGACATTTTTAACAAGCAAACAAAGGAGTTGTTACTAGTGACTATTAGAAGATCCAGTTCACTAGTTGCAGAGATGTTTACTGTGGACGCGCAGAATGATGCACACGAATTTTTAAGCTTTTGCTTAGAGCAGCTGGAGAACTTACCAAAATCAGTTTTAGTTAGCAAGAGTGAAAACAAATCTGACAAAGAAAGTTCATCGCAGCAAGCCTTTGCTGGTGATTCTGCTGCCAAAAGGACTGCTTGTGCTGTCACATCTAATTTTGAGTGTGAGTTGCTGCACTCTATTTTTTGTAAGATTTGTGGTCGGGTTGTTTACAAAACAGAACCAGATAATTATCTCTCCCTCAATCTTCCACAAGGAAAGAAAAAGAGTCCTGTATCTATTCAGTCTACTTTTGATCAGTTCCTTGCAAGAGAAGCACTGCTTGAGTATAAGTGTGAGGAGTGTGAGCAGAAGAAAGCTGAAGTAATGCACAAGTTCATAAAGATACCTAGGATTCTTATTATTCACCTGAAACGCTATTGCTTTACTGAATTTTGGTCACTAAGGAAGGATGATCAGAAAGTCACTGTTTGCAAATATTTAGATTTGTCTGCTCACTGCACTGAGGGCACCAAGCCACCTGTTCCTCTTAGCAGTAATGCACACATTAGAGATCCAGAGTTACTAAAAGTTTCTCAAAATTCAGGTCTTAAACTCCTTCACTCATTATCTTTAGTAGCGTTAGAAAACTCCAGGAATACCAGAACAAGACGTGTTGAATCTGTCAAGCAGCCTGATTCACAGAAATCCCAGAGGTCACATACAGAGAGAAAAAGAGTACAACAGCAGAAAGATGTGGGAAAAGCTTGTAAATTGGATACGAGAGAATCAGAATCAGTATGTGAAGGAGAAGAGCAGTTATCAAGCTCAGTGTTAAATCTGGAATCTGTTTCCCTTCCTGTGTTCCCCGGATACAGGGATCAACTCGTCAGCAAACGAGACACCCGTGTTACAGAAGTACCTGCAAATCCAAAAGCAAGGAAGTCTGGAAAAATCAGTACATCTGAAGAGGCAGATTTTGATGCTGCCAGTGAGGTCACTGAAGACTTTTCCAAAGATAAGAAAACCAGACTTAAAGAAAGATCCCAGAAAATGGCTGAACAAAGTGAGAAATATGATGGGGTAGGGACCCATAAAGATGCCCCTGAGCAGACCCTTTCTGAAGGCCTTCCAAAACCAAAAGTCAGAGAGTGCACAGTGAGACTTACAGACTGTACACGATTCAGTCTTCAAGAGGCTAACCCTGGAGACAAAGACAGTTCTGATAAGATGGAATCAAAAACCCAGGAACTGGAAGAAAAGACTGATAAGAAAAATCGTTATACTTATAGGCTCATTGGTATTATCAACCATATTGGAAAAAACCCCAATTCAGGACACTATGTCACTGATGCCTACGACTTTACAAAGCAGGCCTGGTTCACTTACAATGATCTACTGGTATCAAGTATCTCAGAGTCCCTGGTGCAGAAGTCTAGGATTTGCACAGGATACATCTTCTTTTACATGCATAATGAGATATTTGAAGAACTGCTGCTAAGGGAAAAGACAACTCAGTCTCAGCCTGAGCCACAGCCAGAGCCAGAACCTGAGCTTGAATCCCAGTCCAAGGCCAAGGCCAAGGCCAAATCTCAGTCTAAGCCTCAGTCTAAGTCTCAGTCTTGCAGCCCCAAGGCAAAAAAATCTTCATAGGCAGGATGGACACCTTCATGATCAGATCTCTTAGGTTGCCTCCCTCAGTACCACTTGCTCCATGGAAAGAGAACTCCAAAATATATAGAACTAGAAATTATTTTAAAACCAGAGTTCACACACACTCAGGGAAAAAAAAATTACCTTTCTAACCCTGATGCACATTTCAACCCCACAGTTCTGATGAACATTTTTCTCACCTCCAAGGCAGATACACTTTTCATGTTTTACTGCAGTGCTTTCAAAAATGTGTCTGTCCATCATCAGTATCATGAGCATTAAGGGCTCTTAATTTGAAATGCAGCATTTTGAGTTCCCCTGCAGAACTACTGACCCAAAAACTTAAGGAAGAGAGCAACAAAAGCAGCAGTCTGGTAAGAGATTCTGATGCTTACTAATGTGTAAGCACTGCTATAGTTTCTAGAGCATCTCGATGTTATTTTGTTATTACACATTTGACTTTCTTGTTTAATAAAAGATGTTGACTGCATTTTTAGGGTTCATTTTTGTATACACTTTTCCTTTGTGAACTTACTAGAAAGAAATGCAGAAAAATCATAATTCTGCTGATTATACACAGTGCTTTGGTAGAAACATAATAGTTACTGGGATCCTGGCAAAAAAATGTTAAATGAGGCCAATAACTTTTGAATGTTTTTGTTATTTAAATGACACTAAAAGCAATAATACATCACGTCTTCAGATTGCCTGCCAAACCCCTCCCTTCTCTTCCTCAATGCTCAAATTGGGGGTATCTGTTCTCAGATGTGGATCTTAAAGGAAGAGAAGTTGATTTGCTGACTTTTCCTCTATGTGTGCTAGCAAACTGTTGGGCTTTTGCTGGTAAGAACCTACTTCACCATTTTGTACTACGGATGCTCGCATTGTCTCAAAGGAACTTCGTTTACCTGGACTTACCTATAAAACCTAGGACAATCTTCTGCATTCAACTTTACAAAGCTAATTTTGAATATCTTTTACACCTTTGTGCCTTACAGCATGGTAGCTGTGTTTTAGTAAACAATGTGTGCTTAAAAGTGGACTTTTAAGATTTGACAGTTTTACTTGTTACTGTTTTGATATAATGTGACAGACTTTATGGAAACTACCTGTTTGTGTAGAAAGCCACATGGCTTTCAGACTATATTGTGGCTATATTCTATAAGCTCTCCGTGTAATCCAGGAGTGTAATAATTCTGATACCAAGCATGTACTATCTCTGTAATGCTTTTTTTGCCTTTGAGACACTGTATCTGTAGTGTCTTTCATCTTTGCTGGGGAAATGACTTTACTGTGCTTTCTAACATGGAGGATTTTTCTTGATTTTTATTGCCACTTTACCAACACAAGTTTCCCTCTGAATATGATATTAGTACAGCTATATTAATCCAAGAATTTGTTGATGATGTTCTTAATCCTAGGGATCTTTAAAGAGATAAATTAGAATTCAGTAGTGTGGGAAAGTTAGATAATGCTCTCCTAAGTGAAAAAACAGATTTTAAAGCATGGACCTTTTATTGTTTAGAATACATTGTATGTTAGAAGGAGGTCTGCATGAAACCTGAAGACTGGTGAGACATTAGTGAGTCTCCTATTTCACTTTGCCTCCTAGAAGTTATAGACACAACTGAGATGCTTTCAATCTGAAGGACTTTATCAGCTGAAAAATAAGATGTTTACATGTAGAGGAGAGGAATAACACTTTGACTTCTGAACTTCAAGCTTTTTTTTAAAATTTTTTGTATTTTAGGACAGGGTGTACAGGGTCTCACTGCATTGAGCGGACTCATAGTGATCCACCAGTTTACAGCCTCCCAAGAGCTGGGATTACAGATGCACGCCACCATGCCCAGTCTCACTTGTGGTCTCAGTACACCCTGTGCCTGGCACAGCAGGCCAGGGGATTGAACTCCTGGCCCCTGTGTCTGCTTAAGCAGGTGCTTTAAACCACCAGCTATTTTGCTGGCCCTTGAACGTCAAGCTTTTGACCTCTTTAGGATAGTTAATTCTGAGCCCAGTTACATATGCCTTTGGATAAGAGTTTTAGTAGTAAGTTATTTTGATTTTTTTGTGTGGTACCAGGGATTGCCAGGCAAGTGCTTATTTTACTGAGCTATCTCCCTGCGCCCAGTAGAAGTTATTTTGAAAGAAATTTAAAGATAGAGTTTTCTATAGTTGAGATTTTTTTTAGTGTGTGGTTTATATCCTAGAGGTAGTTGTAACTATGCAACACTTCCAAATGCAGAGCAGATTGAAAAATGATGATAATAAGGATATCCATGACAGAAGATCTTTGGTGGAATCCATCACTTCTCTGTGAACAGAAATGTTGAGAAACATGAAGTGGATGTATACTACTTATATATTACATTCTTTTAAATAAAAGACAAAACATTCATAAGTGTCTTCATGGTCATTATTTATTGCAGATGTAAATTGGTTATTTACATTGTGAATCAGATTTCCAAGTAATTCATGCAGATAAAAAGTGTGATACACAGTATATTTGCTTTCTGTTGCTTCTGTAACAAATTTAGTATAAATCTAATAGCTTGAAGCAACACAATTGTGTTATCTTGCGTCCAAATTGGGTATCACCAAGCTAAAACCAAAATGTTAACAAGGCTGCCATCCTCCTAAATTCCTCACAGCACAAAATCTATGTATTGTTTTTGACTTTGAGAAGCTCTTCTACTTTTAATAAATAATGTGATTAGACCTGACCCACACAGGTAGTCCAGGATATCACACTGTTTTAAGGTTAGCAACCTTATTTCTCATTTGTCCTGTGTTATAACATACCTACAGTTTTTGAGGCTTGGATTGTGCCATTCTGCCCACTGCCTATGCCTGATGGATGTTAATGGAAAATTACCACCGTAACCACCAGTAAACCAGAGTGATTCATGTCTCAGATTGATGAGAAACCAAAGTTAGGGTCACTGTACCAGGTAGGAACTGAAAGCTTCTAAGGATTTTTGCTGAAGTTTGAGGAAAAATAATTCATAACTGAAGAATTTAGACCAATAAACAAAGACTATAGTTGCTTTGTCTATTTCTGTTTTTTATGAACGTGCATTTACTTTTATACACATTTTTTCCTACCCAGGTTCCCATTTTTTTATTTTAATGAGACACAGTTTCAAAACAGCTAAGTGGGACAGTTACAATAATTAATACATTGCATATTGTTGTCTTCATAGTAGTTATTCAGAGGACAAGCTGCAGACATATCTTGTCTAAACAATATTAGTACGAACCTTCTCACTGAACTAAGAGAAAGCTGTATCTATCCTATTTTGTATATACATACATATTTTTTTCACTATAGAATGGTCCTTTATAGCTCCCTTTTTTGTTTTGTCAGAGATGTGTGTTCAGGTTCCCATTTTTAATTTTACAACTTTATTGGAAGTTAATTTTAATTTTTGTTAAGTAACAGCATATTCAATGTAAGCCTGACTAAATTAAAAGATTACTTAATAGGCCATAATGATTGGAAAGACTTAAAAATCTGGGGCCCGACCAGATAGCTCAGTGGATTAAAGTGCCTGCTCAGGCAGTCGCAGGGGTCCAAGGTTTGATCCCCAGCCTGCCGTGCTGACCCCGCCCCCAGGGTATACTTAGCCAGCGAATGAGGTGGTGAATGAGACTGGGCGTGGTGGTGAGCGCCTGTAATCCCAGTGCTTGAGAAGCTGAAAACAGGACGTTCACTACAAGTCAGATCTGTGTAGTGAGACCCTATTGACCCTGCATATATATATATATATACTGGGAAAGAGAATTTAACTTAGAAGGTTTGGTTTATGTAGTTAGGTAGAAATGTAGGGCAGTTTAGCTGCAAATGAGATACGTGTACAGAGCTACATATTGAAACTGAATAGCAAAGGGAGTAGCCTATGCCAATTATCAGTGCATTGCCCCTCAGTTTTAAATTTGCCCTTTGATGGATTCACAATGAGGATGGACAGGGTATCTTTAAGAAATTTCTTCTCCCTTACAGTGAACATGTAGAAACTTACTTGGTAGAGGACATCTTAGTTAACATTACAAGTGAAAGGGACCTTCATGTTTCTGCTTTGTAACTGGTTAGCAATGCAGATATAAACATACCTAGTGATATGCTGTCCTTGCCTGTCAACCCAGCTTTTGGTCCCAGATGCCCTCACAGCACCATGCTGACCTGATAGTTTCATACTACTTTTTCAATGTGGACATCATATTTTCATGGTCCCTGTCCTGCAGTGACAGCATTAATTCCTACTTTCTTTAGGAAAAGAGGATTAACATTGGGAACTCAAACCCCTCTACGTGTACACTCTCCATACACTGTCTGACCCTGCCTTTATCCTGACAACATGCTACCTGCCTTGCAGAGTGGGTTTCTGTTTGCTCAGTAATCACAACTTGTTGCCTTAGGTAAATTAGCAACCTTCCCTGCCATCAGGAACCTTAGTTCTAGGGATTGGGGCCCTTTTATAAATGTGTCCTCAGGACATAGGAGAACCTGTACTGTAACATCATGTAACTCAGTTCTGTCCCAAATTTTCTGATCAAAGAGATTATGGTGCCACAGAGGAAAGTAATCAATGGTGTAGAGTATGCCTAAGCAGTCACATGGAGAGAAAGCATTCTTTTCAGGATTTCTCAGAGAGCTAAATTGGTCAAGCAATGGCTGTGACTCATCCACATGGCTGACTCTGACAAAAGATCTACAAACTGCTGTGTAGGGTTTCAGGGGAAGTCCTGAGGGGATTTGACTGACCTTGTCAGATACAAAAGTTACATTTTTTGTTATATAGACCTTGCTTTATCTTGGTCTTAACCATCCAGCAGAAAAGTATAAAATTGAGGTATAAAAAGTAAAGCCATACTAACACGCTGACCTGTAAAAGGCTCAACTCAACAACTTCTGACACTGTCAGTCTTGCGAATAACCCACTATTATAGACTACTGGACTATATTGGATTACTCTGTTAAATTCATGCACCTGCAATAT